AATTTGCATAAAATTTTAGATCAACAAAAAAAGAAAGAGTCTGAGAGAAAATGAATAGTAGCTGTTTACATTATTTGGAAAAATTATCTTTATCAGCCACTAATATCATTGTTACTAAGTGTTGATGTAATAAATATGCGAGGACAAAAAAATTGGTCATCCTTTTTAACTTCACTACAAGCAAGTTATCTATTTTTTTATTTCTAACTGTCTCATTTTTTACTACTATTAATTTCCTCTTTATATTTTCGTTGACTTTTTCAAATAAAGTAGAAGTACAAACCAGCAACATATTGGTTAATTATTTTAAATCAGTGAGTGAATGTGTGAACAATTCAGAAATAGCACTCAGTCTAATATAAGTATTTGGGGAATCAATGATATGAAAGGTTAATAATGTGAGTTACTTGTAAAAACTTGTGAATTAATGGTAGTGAATGAATAAGAAGAAGTATGAAGGAGTAACAGTCTGAAAGCATTCATGTTTGTTTGCATAGTTCATTCTCCTATAACAGATTATTTGGCTTAAGAAAAATGTCCATTATAGAGAGAACATTATAGACTGTAATAATTATATATTAATATAAGACACATAAATTGAGCTTAAATACTCAGTTACAAGATCTGTTATAAACAGTAATAATTTATATGACATATAGATTTGGCTTAAATTCTCAGTTTGTTATGGAACAAGATCCATTATTATTATTATAGATGTGCAAAAGTTTTCAGACATCTATTTACATTACTAATTACTCAAACTTATATTTATAAATGTATTAAAAACCATACTTCTAAGCACATCTAGATGTTTAGTGATTATAAATTTTAATTCAACAATCATCATAATAGATTTTTTAGCCAGGATTCAATTTTTTTTATTCCAAATATACATTTGCCAAAACCCCAAGCTATAAATTTTTATTTAATTATTTTTTTATAAATTTAATCATGATTATTAGAATGAGTACCAATCATGATGGCTAATAAGCATAAAATTGTTAAAATATATATTTATATGAAAATAATCATTGATTTTTTTTCACTAATTTATAACTTCAAATTCTTCTAATAAATGAATATTATACCTATTATTATTTCTAAGGTTCAAATCATTTTCATAATCATTATCAAGAAATTGATAATGACAATAAGGCTTAAAGACTAGTGCTGTAAATTATGATGATGGTAGTAATTGTATTTACGGCATATAAAAAGTGGTTGCAATTACCTT